TTGTAGGTGTGAGTGTGTGAGAGAGGAGAGCATCTCTAATGGTACATGGATTGCTCTCTTTCCATTGCCACCTAACCTTCAAAATCTAACGTGACCTTCAATAAATCTAGAAGTCTTTCTAGATGTAGAAAGACTTCTAGACATCTTTCATTTTATATTCTATTATTTATTTTATATTTATGTTTCTACCAACTAATTATTATATTATATGTGTCAAATTATCTCACAATTGAGATTAACCATTGGAGACAAAATATTTTCTTTTCCTTTCTCCACATCATGCATCTCAAAATACACATCGAGCCATTGGAGATGCTCTGAGGCGTTCATTATATGTTGGGGCCCAGTTTGCCGTTCATTCCATTGAACGGCTTGTTCTCTTTTTTTTTTTCAATTGATTATTTAATTATTTTGCCTTTTGTTTTCAATTAATTATTTAATTAATTTTTTTTTATCTTTTTTTGTTTTAGTTTTTCAATTTATTTTTTTCTGTAATCTTAATTTCTGTTTTTTAATATAATAATATTTAGTGTATTTCATCAATTAAAATTAAGTATTCTAATTTAAAAAATATATTTATTTTTAATTAAGAATAGAATATATAAATAATATTGAATGAGTGGGTAATGGGTCCCATATGTTTGTGTTTAAATGAATGATTGAATGTGAGTGTATGTTTAAATGGAGATATTATTAGTGGAAAGATGATGTGGAGATGATGTGGATGAGAGAGAAGGTAAATTGTGATTGAATGAATGTTAAGGGATGTAGATGCCCTAAGTGTAGACTTAACCATGATATATTTAATTATTTACATGATTGCCACTCATGTTTGACTAGCCCTTATTAAATTTAAAAAATGCTACAAGTACATCATAAATGTACATAGAAGAGTACATAACATTCACATAGAGTGGGGTCTACTTAATTTTTTATTTTTGGTGAGCCCCACTCAATGTGAGTGTTATGTACATCCCTATGTACAATGTTATGTACTTGTAGCATTACTCAATTAAATTTTGACTCAATCATGATCATTGGTGTGATAGATCCAATGCTCCAAAATCATTCTTATTTCTTTCATTGTGCTTCATTCTCATTTAAGCGCACTTCTATATATATATATATATATATATATATATATATATAAAACCAACCTATTTATCAAAAATAGTAACAAGAAAAGTCAACACACATTTAATGCATATTATATTTGGTAATTATTTATTATATGCATTAATTGCTTGCATATATACATTTTCTATCCATATATAATTTTAAAGATTCTTTCCATAAATAATTTTATTAACTTCTCCAATGATTTTATGATATCCATTATCCTTCTTATATATTATTCCAGAATGCGCTGAGCCTACGTGGCTGTTCTAGTGCTTTGGAATCATACTTGGCAAAAAATCATACTTCGTAATTAGGTTTGGACAAATAATATTGATATATTAATAATTAATAATTTAGGTTTGGACATCCCATAAATATTATTTAGCTAACTTAGGTATTTTAATATCATTTGTACTAATATAACCCTTTATTTCTTTGTAATTTTACATACTGAGGCACTAAGTGACTAATATATCCCTGACTTTTGATTTGTTTCCTTCAATTAGCTATTGAATTATAAATGTATTTTAAAAGTCGATAACTTCTGTATTTCGTATCGGTTTTACATATATAATATATCAAATTAATCATCTTTTGATGATCTTCAATTTGACATCCATATTGTATATATGAGATAATTAAATTATATTTATATTAATAATAATAAAAAATAATAATATTGATTAAAATTCATTAGAAAAATAAAATTATTTCTCAATTGATATATTTATACTTAATGTAGTTATATGTTGTAAGTTAAAAAAATATTATAATATAACACATGTAAGTTGCACAAATAAAAAGTGTCATACTAAATATAATATATATATATATATATATATATATATATTTATAAAAGGTATTTAAATTTTCAACTACTTTCTCTCAATAATTTAATTTTTAAAAAAAAAAATTAGCAAGCACCCGTGTAATACACGGGCGTTGTACTAGTAATTAATATTTGTGGATAATATTTTTTAGCCTTTATTTAATTATATAAAACTAATAACTTTCTTAAAATTAATATTGTTTTTCATTTAAGAGATAATGATCACATCATTAAATGATTATATTGATGGCTAGATAATAAAATTAAAATATATTAGCTATTCTTTAAAATTTTGACATGTTATTTATATGTATATTATTGTCAACCATGATAATGTTTTTATTATTATTATTTTTTTTTTGTTTTGTTTTGTTTTGATCTGTTTCTACAATGAACTTATTGTAAAAAAAAATTCTATTGCATAATATGTTAAATAAACTATAAAGCCTTAGGATCAATATTAGAAAAAATTGCTTGATTATGTAATGGATTTATTTGTTGACAATTGCTAAATCAGTTGTTTTAAAATTATTATGAGAAAATTAAATCCTAAAAAACATGTGTGTGCATTTCACTTTTTTGTAAACATTTATACACAAAATTTTATTTTGAATTTTATTACATAAAGAAGACTACTTATGTAACTTTTATAAATAATAATAATGACATTATACGACTACAAATTTTATGATAAAATAATAATTGTGTATTATATGGTGAACAAGAATAAATAAAATTTTATTTTTTCTTATCAATGAATAAATATGTATTCTAAAATCATATTTATATTAGTATAACGTGTTAGCGGAATAATATATTAATTAACATGTTAATTTTCTGGCTAAAATAAATGTCACTTATTAAAAGATGTGAAATATGGTTGATCCAAACCTATTGTCTTTTTGCCTAAACGTACAAGTCCTATGAAAATGATTGACTTATTATATATATCACGTGCATCGCATGAGCTATGCACTAGTATATATATAAAGAGACAACATATTTACCAAAAATAATATCAAGAAAAGTCAACCAGCATTTATTGCATTCAATTTTTGGTAGTTTTTTTTTTCTTTTTTTTTTTAACTTTTCCTAAAAAATCAATCAACAATATATGTACCCTAAATTCATGGTTTTGTGGATTTAATTTAGGTAAATTTTGACTGATGTGTTTACAATTTTGCAAAAGTCAAAATTCTTTCTTATTTTTTAATTTTAAAAAATTGATTACCATAAAATCGAGAATTTCGAATTAGGAAAAATACTGTCACATATATCTTTTATAATTGCAACAAATTAATTTTTTATTAAAAAAAATGGATTGCATAAAAATCAGGTAAAAATTATGTAAAATTCGGCATGACAATTTTGTAAAAGTGAAAATTCTCTCATTATTTATTAAAAAAAATACCATAGAATCAAGAATTTCGAATTAGGTAAAATACTATAACATGTATGTTTACATAATTACAACAGATCATGTTTATTAAAAAAAAAATCAGATTGCATATAAATCGGGCCCAATTTCAAATTTAAAATTAAAATTTAAAAATCCCTTATCATTTGCTATTACTTTCTTTAGTTCAACCTTTTCTGTACCATAAAATTGAATTAGATAATATTAATTTGCAATTCAAAATGAAATTGGATTGGAACATCCTAACAATTTGGGCTTTGTTTAATTTTTTAGACTACAAATTTGAAATTGATTGCATACACATACAAAATAAGTAATGGTTGCGTACACTTACAAAAAAATCATATATATCATTCTAAATAGATAATTGATTTATTTAAGCCTATCTCGAATTCTATATAATTTGTGGTGATATATGATGTACCAAAAGACTAAACAAATAATATTGTGTAAAATGATGTGGTTAAAATATATAAGTTACATTTTGTTTATTCCAATCATTACAAAATAAGCAATGATTGTATAACTTACAAAACATCATATATATCCTGTTAAGTACTGCACTAGTAACTACTAATAACTAATCATAAAGTCACATTAAATGATATCCTACCTTAAACTTTTTTTTTTCAAACTTTTTATTTGAAATATATATTTTGTTTAACTCATTAAGCAAGTTTTTTTTTTTTCTATTAAAAATAGTTAATTATTTTTTTATGGAATAACCAAACCATAAATTCCATACATAAATGTTATAATAATTTTAAATTTATTTACCTAACTAATTGGTCATAATAGCTTGCAAAAATTAAATTATAGCGATCAATATAAAAACTATTATGTAATAGGTTATATTTATATTTTTTATTTTTACTAATGACCATAAAATGTGTTAGGTAATAGGTTATATTTATATTTTCTATTTTTACTAATGATAAACCATAAAATGTGATATAATTATTGTCTAACTTATGATTTTAAATATTACATACACACATAAAATTATTTGCATTTGTACATGTGCACCGAATCGAATACTAGATAATTACTAAAATCAAATACATCAAAGATTTCTCTAGTAGACAAGATTCAAAAAACAATAGCAATTAATTTCATTTCAGAATTTTCAATAATTTACTATTATTATTGGGAAATGCTACGATCCCGTTATGGAACCATTCCATCGGGGTATGTAACTCTTAGATCAACTATCCCGTCGGTTACATGACGATCTAACGGTTACAAACCCCAACGAAATGATTCCGTAACGGGACCGTAACATCTTCCATTATTGTTATTATCCAATCGTAGGTTTCAAATAATACCACTGAATATTTCATTTCAAATCATTGAAAAACAAATAAGCACAGCGTTCGTGGCAGGCGCAAAGGTCAAAGTGAACCAGTAGGGAAAATTTGGTCATACAAACTTACTACATATATCCCAGGCTTTGGCTTATGCTACAGTTGTGTAATAAACCATGTGACCTCAGTTACCAGTATTGCACCCTCATATTTTTTCACCATTAAGAAATATCTTTCCACCCATCATAACTTATGAAATGTTGGCGTGTAGCTGTTAGTACCAGCATTCATTTACAAATTGTTAATCTTAGAGGAAAATTCTCATTTGTCATCAAGCTCGTATAAGGCGCTTATCGCACGTCAAGATCCTGTAACTGGCGTGTGGGCCCTCAGATGTGTCCCTCAGTGTCACGTGCCAACCAAGAGCAGTCCCAATTTCTTGAAGTTCATCCATTATAGTAAGGGAATCACGGATGTACACATGTCCACCGGGCCGCAGAATCCGATCCATTTCAAGCATGATACTTGATATATTGCATCTGAGTTGCAGAATGAATGAATGAATAAATAAATTATATACATATATCTATATATATATATATATATATATATATATATATATATATATATATATAGGAGGCATTGCATTGCTTGTCAATATTCAAATGGCATAACCATTTACGCCTACAATGATTATTCGAGAAGTATTTGGAAAAGCACTACCATCTCATGTATTACATTGCAACTGAGAAATTATGGACCATAAACTGTAAGAGAGAGGATTACCTTTTTTTCTCAACTGAGAAAAGTCCAGCAGCATGAATTAAGTCGTAGGTTCTTGGGTATGTATCAAATGGCTCACACCTGAGCAGTTTGGTCAATTTCATTATGCGTGTAATCAGAAGTTCAACATTTGCTAATAAGATAATTTGACGAAAAAAAGAAAACAAAAGAAAGAAACAGGCACGCAATTGTGGTAAACCCCAATCTACAACCCCACCCATTCTGTATCTTTTATTTATTCTTATTTATACATGTTCCCATGCCCTTGGAATCTTACTATGTGTTTTTCTTGTGTTTAATCTTTCCCGATTCAAAATCAGAATCGATTTTTTATTTCAATCGATATGGTATATATGGCGGATGGCTGCACGCCAAAGTCTTGCTGTGGTGGCCTTTGGCATTGCCTATCCACAATTTGATAACACTGGTCCCAGGATTAACCACTAATATAAAATTTCATGCGACATCCATGCGCCAGAGGTTAAATAAATATTATTCAACACAAAATACCATCATCATGAAATCCGTACCAGTCATGCATAACACCAATAAGACCACGATCATATATGACAGGCAACGTATTGGGTCCACTAACAGGGACGACATTGAGCACCCAGCAGTCTAATCGGTTTTCAATTAATGCTGCTGCAAAGCTGCGACAAATGATCTGATTAGTTTGTCCAGAAGTAACACAGAAAACACTATCAAAAGTCAAGAAGATAGATGTCATTCTCAAATTGTGCCCATGCAAACAAAACAGCATACTGGAACATGAGAGGAAATATTGTGAAGAGAGAACCTACCCTCCAAAGCCAGCTCTCATGTCCAATACGTTTCTAAATTTCATCTTGCCCCAGTGTAGAGCACGTACATATCCCTCAATAATTTCTTTCCAATATCTTGATTCTGCCCTGAAAAGCTCCTTCCTTGATATGTAAGCATCAATTTGTATGCTTTGAAGCCTATCTGGAGGATTCTGCAGCCGTTCTGGCCAAGATGTGACATTCGAGCCATATCCTTCCTCTGGTAAACGTGTTATGCACGCCTTCAGATCAACATACCTATATGATAGTGGAGATGCATAATTGTGAAAATCAAGTCATGCTTCTCTAGATATATTAATTTATTTTTAATATTATTATAAACTGAGAGAAACAAGTTCAACTAGCAGTATACTACAAGCACTATAAATTGCTTAGACTAATCCTTGCAGTAGCCTTCAAATACGACCACTTCCTAGAAGCCATTCATACTCACAGTTCTTTAGTATTAAAAGCTCCTTGACACAATATAAAAAAAAAAAAAAAATCAATATTGTGCTCGAATTCTAATCTTGTTCTTGTTTCACTATGATCCCAGTATGTGCGTAAGTTGGAGATGTTCTTTTAGATATATTCATTAGAATAAGCACCCAAGTTCACATAAACTTTTCGGACTGAATCAGTTAATCAGCTCAAGACAAATTACTCACAGTTACTAGGATGGGAAACACAAAACAAAGCAAAATTTGACACACAAGTATAATATCAATATGCACCACCTCCAGTCAACTTTCTTAAATCTAGTAATTGCACTTGCCTTACATATCTGTTCTTCATTAAAAAATGATTTAAATGAATTATTCCTCTATCTTTTTATAGCAACTCAAAAATCAAATCCAAGATTAAACTTACCAAACATTATCTGGATCATCATTAGGTTCGCACAATGGCGGTTGACTTCCTTCCTGACGATTCACATAGCAGCTGTTATTTAAAGGCTTCTGCCATATAGCAATGTATCCCTCCTTCTTTACAAGTGACCAACAGAGCCGACGGGTAAGGTTTACCATTTCTAAAATTAAAAAAAAAAAAAAAAGTTAAACAAAAACAGCATAAGAATAATCCTTGCTCATGTTTTAGTGATTCGAACATAAAATAATAACCACAGACGATAAACTTACAAATCCAAGATCTATGTGATCCAGAGAAATGTTGCAGAAGAATTTGAGAAGTTTGAAAATCAGACCTATTTGACAGGTAAATTACCTTCCCATTGCTCTTCAAGGGCTGGTTCATGTTTATAGACAGGCTGTGCTGCCCAAGCAAAATATCCTCCAGCTCGGAGCATTCTATTGACTTCAAGTAGCAAAATGCCATCTATTGGATAAACGAAAACGAAATATGAAAAAGCAGATCAAAAGTGTACAAAAGTGCAACAAAGGATTTACATTTAACATTTCACGGAGAGAATAAAATCAAGAGCATTAATATATGTTCTAGGCTATAATAAAAATACTTGAAACACTGTAGGCATTGATATAATATCATACCATCCCGAGTCCAGTTGATCCTACACCTTGAACAGTGTATCAGATCAAATGCTTGACTTGGATAAAGCAAACGCCGTGTTACAAATGCTGCTACCGTTGCAGGAACACCACGCTCAAGCGCAAATTGAATCTGGTTCTCATGAACGTCTTTTGGAGCCACAGAGAGAGTGATGACATTCCGTGACAGTAAATACGCACCAAAACTCGCAACACCACAACCGACATCCAAAGCAACTCTCGTATGTCTGCCGAATGCGATTGCAGGGACCATCTAGACAACACAAGAAAAAAATTGAAGATTTCAGAAACCATTATATTTCCTCTCTAAAGGCCAAGCACATCTTAATAGGTAAAATGGGCAGCTCGTATTATCTTGTAAACAACTAAAACCTTTTCAATCTGATCCAAGTACTGATCTGCCCCATGAATAAACTGTGTACCTCCTCCAGGAAACTTGAACTTGTCCTTGTCAATTGAGATCCAATTTTGACCTCCTTTATCCTCAGCCAAACGAGCATGAGGAACATTGCTAAACCAAACCTGCAAATACAGGATACGAATCTTCCATCAATTGATAGTGATAATAAATCCTGTCGTACCTAGCCACAATTGAAGACGAATCCCCCAAACACATAGCATAGTTGTTTACCTCCATACAGTCACATAAACTTACAACCAAACAAAATAAAACTCAAAACTATACAATCATACCTAGCATTTAGAAAATAAAGGGGAAAGTCAAAAGGGAAAAAAAAAAAAAAAAAGAAAAAGGAAACTTCACCTCATCACGACTCTTAGGCCAGGGAATTGGAGTTCTATAACCTTTAGGAGCTGGGATCAAACAATCCAAGCCCTTCCCTTCTTGAGGACAATGCCGCTCAAATCTTTCTCCATTCTCAGTAGAATTCAACCTCTTAATTGCCTCCTCGTTATCTAAACAAGGTATATGCTCCCTCATACTCTCCGGGCACAGCGGAAACTTGTTAACCCTAACCCTAACCTTATCACCTTTCCCATCAATCTCCAAACCCTCACTCACGTTCGTTTTCGACCAATTGTCGACCAGCTCAGGATCATAGTCACCCACCTCGAAATCATCCGTCATCCTTCCATTCTCGTCCACCACCCCCATCCTCTGCAGCGCGGGAGGAGGCGGTGGAGGTGGAGCGGCCACGGCCTGTTGCGGCTCATTCCGGCCGATCTGGTCGGGCGGTGGTGGCGCGGCCGTATCATTAATGAGAGAGGAGATATCGAAGTTCTTGTTGTGATTGGGAGAGAGGGCCACAGAGGCGGAGGAAGACGACACCGTTTGGGGTTGGGAGGAGAAAAACAGGAGCTGCTGGGAGGATCCATCCGAGAAATGCTTGCCCAAGTAGAAGAAAATGAGTGAAATTAGTAAGAATCCGGAGATTTTGATGAGGGTGGCGGATTTGCTGCCAGCCCCATACATCGTCACAAACTTCCCAGATCTCAACTCTTTCACTGGCCGAGTTTAACTAACTGTATAAACGAATGCAGATAATTTTCACTTTTATTATCATAATCATAATAATTATTATATAATATGAGGGAGAGAGAGATAGATTTGAAGTGATTTTTGTTCAAAACTTTTTAGGCTCACCTTGGTAGCCTTGATAAAGATAAGGATGATATCTCCCACCATAATGTTATTAATTTCAACTTTCTTATTTTTTATTTTTTACTTTTCGAAAGAAGCACCCAAAATGGTGAGAATTAAGATCGGATCTCCAACTTGTAAATAGTCAAAATCCTAAATAGATTGAGGTAGACGAAGGTCTATACATGTATAACCAAATACAAAAAACAAAAACGAGAAAAAAAGAAAATCCACCTAAAAAGGGAGTGAACCTAGGCTGGAAGGTGACCAGGCGAGCAGTCTGAACCACTAAAAGATCCGAAATACAAAAACTACACACAAACACTAAAAGGCTATCAGAATCTGAAAGAGGAGTAGTTGTCTTGATCCATCATCACAAGGGCGCGGAGGCGAAACGAGGCGTTATCCAGGCCAAAAGCGCACCTCTAGAGAGTGGAGACACAAATGATGGCTAGAAAGTTAGCGGGCCGGTTACCCTCTTAAAAGATGTGCGAGATCCAATGGCGAATTGACTGGAGTGGATATGATGCGCATGAGCGGGTGTTGGATCCGCCACGAGCCTGGTGGCCTGAGGTTAAGAGAGGGGTGACAACGACAACATCTAGCTCAATCCAAATGTGAGGAGAGATAGAGGCAGCAACCTGAAGACCGATATGAAGCGCCTCAATCTTCATATCATAGCTCTGTTGGAACCCATGAGGATCTCGATATGCACAAATCACGGACAAACATTCAACATAAACCTATGCGCAGCGGATCTAAAGGTTTGATGAAGAAAACTTACTGCTTAAAATTTATGTAGATCTGGCTGGCCCGAACAGTTGACCGCAAATCAAATCTTCTCGGAATCGAACAAACTTGACCAATCCAGAAAGCTAATGTCACGGCGAAGTCAACGGCGTTGACCGATCAGAAATCGGACTTCTCACGCGCTCTCACGCACGGCGAAAAACTCCAGCGACTGCTTCCTTGCGGCGGCGCGTGGCGGCGCGTGCGGCGGAGTCCGGCGGCGATCTCGACGGCGATCTCTTCGTCTCGTCGTCCTGGTCGTCGTATTATGGTCACTTGCTGGTTTTGGTCTCCGGTTTGGATGTATGATTGGAATCTCTATATACCTTAAGATCTTCTACTGTATTCCCAAACAGCTTTCTAGATCTTGTATCAGTGGAGCACAAGAAATAGAAGAACTCCTTGGAAGAGAGAGAAAGAGAGCTGGCGTGTTTCCCAAGGTGTGGGATTGTTCTGTTCTCTTCCATGAGCCTAATGCTGTATATATAGAGCTACAGTAGGGACCCTAAGGAGAATAGGATAAGGGCTTCTAATATATTAATACTGTGGAGCAACCCCACAATTAATATATTAATAATATTAAAGTCCACCACAATAATATTATTGCACTCCCCTCACCTATCCCAAATTACATTTGAGACTCCTTATTATAATTATCCGATTTACCTCCCCATGTTTAAGATATAATGTCCATTAATTAATTCGATCACTAATAATCAAGAATTAATTAATATATTATATTACCGAAGCTAGCGCTCGCTCATAGCATTCATATTATGCCGGAATAAATCCACCTGCAGGGTTTAGCATAATATTCCTTCATGAACTCACTTCGGGGACATCATCATACTAACGCACATGGTGACCGTAAATATCCTAATAGCACATCGAACACATAATGTTATTACCCAATTCATTAAGTATGTCGACCCGGCTTGGATCTCACCCAAAGAATCAAAGTAACAACAATTATGTGCACATGCCTATTTAATATCTTACGGGTTAAGAGCACGCAATAATTAACTGAGGCCTAGTTCGTTTACGACGATCAGTATAAAACGAACATCCCTCTCTGGGATCCTGTTCAATACATAAATGTACTAGTGCAACTAATCGGTCAAGACAAACCGTACGGTTGACACTAGAACCGTTCCGATGGGTTGTTCAATTTCATCTAGGTTGTGAACCAATGATTCTTGTTTCACAAGTAACTGATATAGTGATCTTCGGTACGCCCGATGACGACCCACTTATCTACATGCAAAACAACAGAACGTGGAACTTATTTAACCAAACATAATTCTCATTCATCAAGAAATAACAAGTGTAATATCCACTAAAGCAAAGCTTAAGTATATAACACCAACAAGCTCGAGGAGGCCCGAAGAGAGGCATGGAAGGCAAAAATAAGAGCTCCAGTGTGATCCCTAATTAGTCCCCCGCCTCTAGTGGCTCCGGTGAGTCGGTCGAAGGATCCATCAGTGTTCAGCTTATTCCAAAGGGAGTCGGGTCTCAGCCAAACTGTTGGGTTCTATTAGGAACGTCAAACAACATACACAGTATTGAACTTATCGAAATAAATCCTAACGCAACGGAATCTATAGTTAGAATATGGACGTTTACCTTTTAAAATTTTTTCTGACTCTGAGACGATGTAGAGTACCGTTGATGAAGTTCGTCTGAACACCACAACCTAATGGGCGGATAGGTTTGGCCTTTAGTCGATTCTAATTGACATGTCAAACAGACCTCGGTCGCACGGTGGCTTGGTCTCGGCATCGGGTTGAAGCGGGCGTCGGTCGGGGGTGAGCAGCAACTCGGTCGGGCGTGTCGGGCGCTGAACAGACACGCGGAGAGACGCTGGGCACACGAACGGACGCTGGCGGGACTCCACGGCGCTTGCGGACTGACGCTGGGCGTGTGCGCGCACGCGTGGGGCACTCATATGCGGTCGCAAACTGGCGCTGGCAAGTGGACGCACGCGGGCGTGAGCAGCAAGACTCCTGGGCGTGAAAGGAGTGTACGCGCGTGGACTGGTGAAGCGCTGGGACCTCGCGATCGGCGACAGCGAGCAGCAGATGCGAACGGGCGATGCGCGACTGCGGGTGGTGACTTGCAGTTGCGATCGGCTGGTCACGGACGTCTTCCGGCGGCGATGGGATTTTCCGGCAATTACTCACGGCGGCGATGGACGGCGATCGGCAGCGATGAGATGGTGATGATGATCGTAAAATATATGTATATTAGAGGTTCAATATATTGTACCAAAAAGCCTTCTAATGGATTATCTAAAACACCTACTTCGATCAAACTTGGTGGAGCGTTTAATCGAATCTCCCTAAATCTCGAACAAAGATATTTCTCGCGCGTATGTAGAGAGAAAATCAGCCAACACATCTATGTAGGAGAGGTTGGGAAATGGTGTATTTATAGGCTCCATTAGGGACCTTAAGGAGGTGGTAAATATGGGCTTATCCCATTAAGCTTAGGAATCCTAATTCTAATCCAATACTAACTTAATATAGGAAGGAGATCTCCTACCAATCCATCTCTTCTAGAAGACTCCTTAGTCTCCTAACACTAGAGAAGATCCTAGTAGGAATACCTTTCCTAATTAAATTAATAATCATGGAATAGAATTAATTCCTAATTTAGGAACCTAATTTCACTCCAATTAATAATATAATGTAGGGAATATATTTCCTACTAATCTCAATCTTCTAGAAGACTCCCACGTCTCCTAATCCCAAGAGAAGATTCTAGTAGGAATTTTATTCTCCTAATTAATTAATTAATATGGAGTAAAATTAATTCCTATTTAATAGAATTAAATAATAAAAAATCTCACTAGAGTAATATTATTGCTCTCCCTATTTAGCCACTATTTTACCAATAAAATTGAGCCTCCATGATTAAATAATATTAATCCGATTGATCGATTTACCTCCCTATGTTTAAGATATAACGTCCGTTGATTAATTAAATTACTGACAAAATAATTAATCAACTTCTTATTCATTTCCGAAATTAGTACCACTCAGATCCTTAACCATTATGTCAGACAATCGTCTACCTGCAGAGTTTAACATAACGTACATTCCTGAGCTCATTTCGAGGACGTCATCAATCCAGCGCACTGGAACATAGTGACCATAAATAATTTATAATAGCACATCATATAATTATTCTTACTTACCAAAATACCTCGTATGTCATCCTAATAAAATAGGAATCACTTGGTAAATCAAATAAATAAGAAATAAAAATATATGCCTATTTTATATTATCTTACGGCTTAAGAGAACACATCAATCACTGAAGGACGAAGTTACAACTACGGTCAGTGAGTCTCATAACCTTTGCCTTACGCGGTCCTGTTCAACACTTAACATGAGTGCTAGTGTAATTCTCCAGTCAAAGACCAACTGAATCAAGAATACACTACAATCTTTTTCCAAGTGGGGTCTCACTGCCAGTCTAGAATATGAACGAATGATTTAGTCTTATAAGGAACCAATAGGTGATCTTTCTGTTCGAAACATTTCGAACCACACTACTTCAATATAAGACATGGAGTATGTATTGCATAAATAAATAAACTGCAAACATATGTACTTTGACCGAGACATGATGGCCAGATCAAAATGGAATTGATAGAATCTGCAAAACATAGCTTTTACAGCATGCCTCTAACAATCTCCCACTTATGCTTTATAAGCTCATGGCTAAACAAAATAACCACAATTTCTTTCAAACTAATTCTCAAAGACTAGTCTACTATGTTGCCCTAACATCTAACTCTCATTCCTTCTACGCGTCTTCTAAAGACGTTCGCCGGTAGGCTCTTCGTAAAAGGATCTGCTAGGTTGTCCTCTGATTGTATCTTGGCAACAACGACTTCTCCTCGTCCAACGATTTCTCGTATCAGGTGGTACTTGCGCTCTATGTGTTTACTCGCTTTGTGTGTCCGTGGCTCCTTCGAATTTGCTACTGCTCCGCTGTTATCACAGAACACTGTAATCGCAGCAGGCAAACTCGGTACC